AACAAACCTGTGTGTGTGTGTGTGTGTGAGTACACACGTGTGTGTTTGTATTTTATTATTAAATTATATATTATATCACTTGGAAATTTAGATTCTAATTATATAATTAAACAAGTAATATAATTCTTTAGCTTATAAATTTGCCAAGCAACAGGACTGTCAGGACCACAACACATTTCACGTTTAATTAATTAAATCAACTACACATTAACAAAGCTATCTTGCATTTGCAATCGAGTTTATGTAAAAATGTTAAATAATACATAAAGTAAATGTGTATTACAATTTTATAATTATTAGCAAAAATAATATTAGTCTTATTCTAAATGTCAACATACTGTAAAACTGGACTGAAAACACAAAATAGCAGAGTTTAACCTCAAATAACTAAATATACAATGTAATGAGGTTGTGACAATCATATTGCTTGGCAAGCTTAGGCTAAAGCATTAATTGTTTCTGATTATTAAATTATAAATTATAAAATTACTGATTATTATTATCATAAACAAGTGATTTTGGTGTATCTTTGATCGTATCGCTGTTGCTGCTTGTAAAATACTGAGGCAAAGCACTGGAGGACGTTGAGTTGCACGTTTAACCATGGTAAAGAAGGGTTCAGGTAGCATTTTACCATGGTAAAATCACTGACAGCGATAGTTTAGCATGTTCTGGTGAACATAAATCATGTCAACACTGCTGGTCCCGTTACTGCATTCATTCATTCATTACAACCGGAGCATTTCAGTTTAGCGTTGCATTCATCGCGACGCTAGCTCAGTGTTGACGGGCTGTTATGACGCAGATCGCAGCTTCTAAGATATATTGAGTTAGCTATGCCAACACAACAAGGATAAAACACCAAAATGAAGCATCTGGTTGGATACAAACCACTTCACCGGGAGAAACTCGACAGAGGAACACAATCCTTCACACATCTTCCATTCGCCTCTTGTCAGGTTTGTTTTTATTCCTCGATTAGCTCTCGTGACTCCGCTGCTGTGTTCTGATTGGCTGGTTGCACTCAGTAACTGTGTTGTGATTGGTCGATCAAATGTGACAGGATTTGCGAGTTACAAACTGAAACGACAGGATTTTCTTAAAGGGGTCCTACTATGCTTTTTCACTTTTTTGATTTTAGTCAGTGTGTAGTGTGTATGTTTGGGCATAAAAAATATCTTCAAACTTACAAATCTCAAAGTCCACTCCAAAGGGAGATATTTAGATTTTTTTTTTTTGAAATCCCTTTTTAAGAACTACAATGAACGGCTCGTTTGGACTACAGCGTTTGTTTTCCGGGTTTTGTGATATCACAAAGCGGCTCATTAGCATATCATTAAAATAATTCCTCCAGCGCCTCCTGCTGGCAGAGAATGAGTTTGCATATATATATGCTGCCTGGGAAACACTGGACTATGGTATAAACGAGCGGCAACCTCCCGCTCTCTCTAGTGAAGCCAACAAGGAAGTGACTTAAACTGTAATTCTTCAACTGGCCGCTAGAGGCTGGCTGCAAAAGGGAGTCAATCCCCTAGACTCCCCATGTTAAAATGCCCAACTTTACAGCAGACAAAAACATGTTTACAGCCTGGTTCAAAAAATGATTTTGGTCTATATAGCTAATTTTGCCCTTCATGACAACTGAGGGGGGTGAATTTATTTTATAACTCATCCGTTTAAATTATATTAAGCCTTAAAGTTCTGCATAATTAAGGGCGTGGCCACTTGAGTGACAGGTGGATTGCCGCTGCTGTCACCGTTAGAATTAAAGAACAATAAAAATAATACATGTGCACTTATCTGTACATGGTGAATGCAGTTATTTTTAAGCGGTTGTTGACATCTTATCTAAAGCGTGATTTAGCCACAAAAAAACAACAACAACAATAACGTTTAACAATAACAGGAACAATTCTGTAATTGTTCTTAAAATATCACGAGAGTTTTTAAAAATATTTTATTATTTTTTTTCTTTTATTATTTTTGTATTATTATTATTTTATTTTTTTTGCTATTGCAGCGGTTAGAGATCCATCCGTGCTGGATATATTGTTCCGGGTCACTATTGGCGCTTTTCCACTGCGTGGTACGACTCGGCTCGGTTTGCGTTTCCACTGCAGTTCAGTACCGCTTTAGAGGGGGCGGGATTATCCACATGTCGTTATAGTTGCGCGGCCTCTACTGCCGCGACTCCTAAAAAACTTTTTCATTCCGCGTCGCCCCATCAAGCTCTCGCTGGATCCGCTCCTCTGCTATCAACGAGAGGAACGTCTGT